TTTTGTTTGCAGGTAGATACTTTTTTATAGAACACTAAAGTATAAATGAAAACAATTTTTATTTTACATTTTATGTTTTTTTTTTTAATCAAAGCAAGAAGTTTAAAACAAAGAACACTCATCACATCACATATTAACTATCATAGTATTGTTTTTTCAAAACCATGATTATACTGGCTCGTGCTCGTAACATAGGAATTCCAATGAAGATATTTCCAGCAAATCAGTTCCATTAGCAGCATATAAAAGAAAACAAGAGTGTTCTAGGGACAGCCCTACTCGTCATCTATTCGAATTAAGGCAGAGCATGTGTGGCATCTGCGTATATGCATCGGGACGGGCAGACTGATCGTAAATACTCGTATCTGCTTTAACAGGACCATGTATATACACCACCATTACAGGACATGTCGACAACGGTTTATTGTGTAATTGGGTATATATTTTACTGTGAATATATCCATTTGTCTATAGATGGCTCCGATTTTATTGTTACGAACATAATGTATTCGAAAATGTAGTTGGTTATCAATTTACTGATGCGCTCATTTTATTTGGCTGGCCTGGTTCTGTATGCTCATTGCAGTTTATTTAAGTTTATCGAGCATCCTTTTTGGCTATCTAGTATTCTATTATATCGACGTGGGTGTTCACTGTTCATCCTTTGCCAAATCAGTAGTCTAAAAATTTCCATTCAATGTAACAAATGTCTAATTATATATTATTTGAGTCTGTATCACACGGTAACAGAGTACGAATCGGTATCAAAATTATTCCTAGCAAAAACCAGACCCCCACTAACGTCATTAATGTCACCTAATTAAGATCGGCGTACTCGACAAAGTACTGGACAGCCTCTATCCACACGGTCTTAATTATTTTAGACTTTATTGACTTGAACGTGGGCTTGCACGAACCGGTAAACTAAACACACAAATTGGTATTGATCAAGTTAAGTAACCACAGTGAATTAATAGCCCAGTGACCAGATACATTATCTGGAGTTTCGACCTAGCTATCTGTTGGTCATTAATCTATTCATGCCTACGTTTTAGTTTGCGGTGCTTCCATCAATTACTTTGGTTCAAGGACCATTCGTCAGAACAGGGTAAGTGCCAAAACTGAATGCCAATCGAAGTGTGGTAATTAATTGTTGTGAGATTTCAATACAGTTTATAAATAGCTTTAGCAATTTTTTTTTTATTTTGTTTTATACTCAAATCTAAAGCATTAAATACACCTTCATCGGCTTTAGCATCATCGGTCCGTTTCAATCCTCGGCTGGAAACACATGTGGCTACTTTAAAATCAGTTTAATAGAAATAATAAGAGTAAATCCACAGCTTAACAAACAATTTTTGTCACACAAATAAACACATGTATACATAAACTTACGTAATAATATAATCACAGTGAAGATTATCACTCTAATAATCAGTTAAGTGTTGTTATTCAATCAAATTGTACCCACATGTTGGCACGCATGACATTTTTACGACGCAAATAACATGAAATAATAATAATCGGTCACGACAAACTTTCTATTTCAATAATTTACTTCCTTAAACTTTGTATTTACTTGATTTTTTGTGAACGACTTCATTCCAGACCAGCTTTACACCTCATCGTTAACAGACCATAATAGTTCACTACTGAATAATAGGTCTTTTCTAGAGGAATTAAGCAGATAGTGCTGATGTCCAGGTCTTAGTGGACACTTACTCATTTTCTAAAATTGTCATGAAGAGGAGAAATCTATTTTTTTTATAATGACGGCAATTATTAAATTCTTCCTGATTAACCACACATTAAAGTTTTGTTCTTGCACGCATTAGAACAAAATGCTTCATTAACTCGTCACTTTATATATTTCGGAGTATAGGACTTTTAGGCCTTTTATAAGAAACAACCTAGTATTTAACTATAATTACTCTGAGAGGAAATAAAAGGCGTGATATTATAATTATTATGTAAAATTTTTAACACATTAGGTACCATTATATTTTTTGTCGTTCCCTCATTAAACAGACAGCTTAAATTTAACACATGAATAGAATTCGTGCTCGTTTTTAATATGGTGTTAATTTGATTCACGTGTAAATAATAAATTACTAATAATTGCGTTTTCTTGTCTAATTTACATGATACTGATTAAAATCTAAATATTAATGTCGTTTAATGTAGATTGAGGTAGATAATTTTCGACAAATATCGTTCAGTAAAACCCGATTTCTTATCGATTATAATGTTTAATTTCTACTACTGCTGGGTACTTTTGTTTAAATGTTTCACCATTTGTTTCTAGTCGCCAATGAATCGAATTAACAAAACAATTCCGAGATATTGTTATAACTCATGTAGAGTCAATGTTTTAGATACACAGAGGTACGTTTCAAACAATTGTATTGTATTCCGAACCCACATTGATAAATTCTCGATCGATTTCTCACTCATCGGGTTAGATATCCTGCTTAACATATCGTTTGATAAATGCACTTATAAACACAATTTGAACCTAAGTACAATAAGGTTAATGAATGAAATCTCCACCGAAATAAATGTTAGAACTCTCTTGCGCACCTTCAAGTACTCTCTAACTCCATAAGATCATAACAGTAACAAAATATTTCCTAACAATAGCAAGCTCTATGCCAATGCTAGTAAAGTCAATTTCAATCAAAACACCATTGTTCAAAATCAACGAAGATACGATTATATATTACAAACTTGAACTTGACTGACAAATGTGTTCTTTACAACGAAGATAATAGAACATAAAGTGAAGCAAGATACAAAGTATGAATACCATAAGTTTGATTGATAGTAGACGATATCTCTTCAAAGTATGTTGAATATTAAACGGATATGACTAAACAGAAATAAATGAGGTACTGGATGAAAAAATACGTGTATTTCTTCTTCATATTAGCATAACGCATAGCAGTCAATGATTTGTTCATGATTAATTCTTACCTTGTCAACATTTCATAATACATGTTCGTGTATTATTGGTGACGCCTCTTCATCATTTGACGATTTGTTTTGGGCGTTGCTGTTAGATTCAAATTACACAGTTAAGATTTATTTTCCTTTTACGTATTTTATATCTACAACTTTAATTGCATTTGAATTAGCTTTTATGACATGTTTTGGCTTTAAAACCAATGCAATTTGCATAATTATGTTCATTATAATTAGTATTATTGTTTATCATGGTTCTACTGTGACTGCGATTAGAGGTATGTTTATTACAATAAAAAATATTCTTCTTTTATTTCCAGGTCCGTAACTGAAAATTGTGGTGCGACGGTGTGGTGGTGTGGTTGTGAAGCTTCTCATACACGAAGGTAAAGGCTCGAAACTTATCAACGGCAAAGTAACATTGTGACTTTTTCCGAGCCAAAAGTACTTTCTAAGATTATTTAGACACCATTGACAAACCGTTAAGGAAACCATCGTGAGGAAACTTGGGCGTATAATTTTTAATTATAAGTTCAGAATCGCCAATGCGGATTGAGCAAGCGAAGTGATTAATGCTCAAACCTTCTCCATATGAGAAGAGGCCTTTGATCAGTAGTGGCTGTTGATGGTGATGAACTGAAAATTACTGACACATATCCTCATATGAATTTCATCCTCGGAATGATAAGCTACTAATACTTATGGTTTTGGTTAATTTTCCCATTATACGTTACCTAATATGTTGTTGTATTTCCGTTTATTCAAGTACGCAACAAATACATGAATATTACTTTCATTATTAGACCCATTCTATCCAAAGATAAGTAAGAAGTTTGCAGACACATGACAGTGCTCTTAACTTGATAGAACTTACAAGGCTGCATTGATTTCATTCAGTGTATCGGGTACCATAACATTAAGCTAAGTAAGGGTAGAATGTTTTAGTAAAAGTTAAGTAATGTCATTATTGTGACCCACAAACTAAGAGCTGGTAATAAGATCATTCTTTTCTAATACAAGAGACCCCTTAGCAAAATTTGTTCATCTGATTTTCTTAGTTTCTCCTTATTGGATAGCATTAGATGTTACAGAATTACTAATATGTTGTTTTAGTCCATTAGCTGTTGCTAGTAACCTTTTGGTTTTTCTTTTATTGTGTTAGTTTCTTTAATTAGTTACTTATGGCTAAGTTTTTTCTAGACCTGTTGCCTCCTTTTTATATCTGAGTTACTTATTGGTTCAGATTCTCTGTAAAAATTGTGTACCCCTGATATTTTTTTTTAACATTTTACCTTAAACGAGCAATTCTTGTATATCTATCAACGACATCAGCAACAGCTCGTCAGATTTTTTGAAATATTATTTTGATGGGTTTTAGGGGCGAGAGGTCGATCTAGGTTTCATTTTTAGAAAATATCGTTTACTAAAAAGAATATCAAGGAAAGCTCGGTCATCCAGGGCACTACTTTGGAATAAAAGACACATTATATCCTTTGAAACCAACAATAATAAAGAAGAATATACTATCTCACGATTTTGAAGTCCTTTATTAATTGAGATTAATATACCTTTTTGTCATAAAATAAATATTTTGATGTTTAAAATTCAAATCTTGGAACTCATCTGACCATCAATTTGTCTTGGCTCAAAGGGTAACTGCATTAGTCACGTGCTTTTGTTTGGTTGGCTTTAAAGAGCGTGTATATGTTTTTAGAGCACCCCGCTTCTTCACCCACACACTCACATTGTTCGGTGGTATCAGACGGGATCTCTTCATGTTTGTCTAACAAGCGACGTGTCCGATTATTATTACTGTTTTATCTTTAGACAGTTTTTGTGGGTTAGCATTGTAAGGACCTTACTCGAAATTTGAATGTAGCGATGATTTAATAATTCATCAAATAGGTAGTGACTTATGTATATATTATAATTATTGTTGTACGGTCCTAAAATGACTGACGTACATATTTTGTTTCTATAAATACCGATACAACATAATAAATGAGTGAGTGCAATTACTGCAACGCGATAACCAACATTAGAGAAAGGAATCGTCAACAGTTTTATTGTGAACACAATTAAACGTTCTAAATCTAACTAAGTGAATCTTTTCTCTTCGCGCTCCAACCTCAACAAACACGCTGCAAGTGTACGCACCGTACATTTTATGGTCCTTCGAGCCGGATACTCTGCGTCTCTGTGTCTCTTTACGGTAGCGAATCGGTTTAGCTGGTCTCCCAGAAGCGGGTCGCCCCAGATAGATTGAGAAATCGCATAATATCGTAAATAAGGCGCATAGGTGCTGAGTACCACTGACCATTTCAAATCAAGGAAGACAACGACTTCAAGATTTGAAACGACGAAAGCTACGAGCAACGCAGTAGCCTTCGCAACAAACTCAACGCTTACCTGTTACCGTCAACGACGTGTCAAACCCAACAAGAAGCACAACAATGGAGAAACTGGAATTGCAGTCAGAGTGCTTCGAGAACATAAAAACATTATGTTTGAACTATCGCAAGGATTCCGCCTCGCGAAAAACTGAAGAATACTTGAAGAAACGGTTGTCGTCGCTAGAAAACCAATGGCAAGATTTCGAAAGCAGACACAAGCAACTGGTGCTGGAACTAGAAGATAAGGATACATCATACTTCAAGGATGACATCTTCGGGAAAACGAAAGAAATGTTCTTATCAACTAAAACAAACATTACGAGCAAACTGGCGACCTTGGGTAAACAAGACATCAAGTTCGACCTAGGTGGGACTTCCGAGGAAGACGACAAGAACAACATAAAATTTTTGCTTCACAAGCAAGAATGCAACTTCAATGCCATATATCGGGTCATCTCAAAAATTGATGCAGTTCCTACCTCAGAAAAATGGGAACTGGAAGATCATGTCACGACGTTAAAATCAAAATGGGACCCCATTGATAAACTTCACTGGGAAATAGACTTCCAACTCAAAGGTTCTAACGAGCATTATTACCAAATGTTTACAGACATCGAACAGAAATACGATGAACTGAAGAGGAAAATCAACACTCAACTCTGGTCCACCATCCATTACCAGAAATCAACACCTAAGATAGAAATCCCTGAGTTCTCAGGAAACTACTGTCAGTGGATTTCCTTCAAAGACCTGTTCCTGGAAGCTATACACAAGAACCCAATGATCAACAATGTCCAGAAAATGCAGCACCTAAAGACTAAACTGCGAGGTGAAGCTGAACGCTTAGTGCAGCATCTGACCATTAGTACTGAAAATTATAACTCCTGTTGGGACATACTTATTCAGCGCTATGATAATCGTCGCCTGCAGTTTACTTCGTTTATGAACAATATGCTAAATCTGCCGATCATACAAAATGCAGACTCGTATAACTTAAAGAAAATGCATGACGTCATTACTGAATGCTTGAACGGCATTTCTAATATCGGTATTGACACTTCAAACTGGGATCCGATCATTGTACACATAATGTCGCAAAAACTGGACTCAATCACTTTCAGTGACTACATGAAGGAACTTCAAGATCACAGAGAACTGCAAAATCTGCGCGAATTTCTTTACTTCCTCGAAACACGGTTCATGGCATACGAAACGATGAAGTCAGCTAAGAAAGCGAACACTACAGCTCCAGAAAAATCATCTAACGGAAAACCATTCAACAAGCAAACCCAGATAAAGAAACATCATTATTATAACTTCAATCAAAATAAAACTAACAACTATCACGCTTTACACGGAAAATGCCCATTTTGCAATGGAAGTCACGTATTGCGCCAATGTGACAAATTCCTTCGAATGGACTTTGGCAAACGAAATGACACAGTTTCAAGACTGCAGCTGTGCAAAAACTGTCTGTTCAGCCATGGCAACAACGAGTGCAAATCAACTAAAACTTGCAAAGAATGCAACTTAAAACACAACACATTGTTGCACAATTCGGACAAACAAAACATAACTTCAACGACTGGAAAAAACAACATTGAGCAACGCTCTTCATCATCAACTCACCAACCAACATCTAACCATCTATATAAGGACAACATGGAAGTTTTACTGACTACGGTCCAGTTAAGAGTTAAATGCATAAACGGCACCTACATAACATTGCGTGCCCTACTCGATCAAGGCTCACAAGTAAACTTGATAACAGAAAATGCGGCACAACTATTACGTCTTCCTCGAAAGGGGATAAACGCATCCGTGTCGGGAATCGGTTCGGCTTCCAGAGAGTGCAGGGGAAAACTGAAATTGACCTGCCAATCGATTCATTCCGACTACAGTTTTGATACTCAAGCGCTTATCATGACGAAGTTAACAAACAACTTGCCTACGAGAACGTTCGAAAGAGGTACATGGTCGCACTTAGAAAACTTAAAACTGGCTGATCCTGACTTCAACGTGTGTCGGCCAATCGACCTACTACTAGGAGCCGACGTGTATTCCGAAATTATCCAAGAAGGTGTATTGAAAGGCAATAACAGCTCCCCAGTTGCACAACATACGCAAATTGGGTGGATTTTATGCGGGAAGACGAAACAAACGTTCGGCTGCCACGCTACTCTATTTGACTTAGAGGACTTAACAAAGTTCTGGGAGACTGAAGAAATTCAGAAAAAGAAAGACATTCCGAACGACGATCATTGCGAACAATTTTACAAGGAAACGGTGAGAAGATCAACTGATGGAAAATATATTGTTAAAATGCCTCTAATTCCAGACTACGCAGAGAAATTAGGCAAATCTAGAAAAAATGCAATTTCGCAGTTTTTACAGTTGGAAAAACGGCTGGAAAAGAATGAAAAACTTTCAACAATGTACAGACAATTCATGGAGGAGTATGCAGATTTAGGTCACATGAAACCTGCGTGTCAGATGTCTACAGACAGCTACTTTTTACCACATCACGGGGTCCTGAGAGAAAACTCCACAACAACAAAGCTGAGGGTCGTATTTAATGCTTCTCAAAAAACGACGAGTGGACTTAGCTTGAATAACGTCATGGAAAAGGGCGCTAATCTACAAAAAGATATTCAGGCTCTTATATTCAAATGGCGAACTTATAAATACGCATTCACAGCGGACATTGAAAAAATGTACCGCTGCATTTGGATTTCAAAGGAACAACAACATCTACAGAGAATCGTATGGCGGAACTCACGAGATCACCACCTTTACGACTATCAGCTGTGTACCGTAACCTACGGAACCAAATGTGCACCGTGGCTGGCTATGCGGACATTGAAACAATTAGCCATGGATGATGGTCATAAACATCCTAAAGCTGCCAAGATACTTACAGAAGAATGCTACGTAGATGACGTCATCAGCGGTCATAACAACCTCTCAGAAGCGAAGAAACTGCAACAATCCCTAATCCAATTGTTAAGAGGAGGAGGCATGAACCTACGAAAGTGGACAGCCAATAACCGAGCTATAATAGAAGACTTACGCGAGGATCAAATTTCGACACAAAACAGTTTTGATTTTAAAGGTGAAGAGTCATCAAAAACATTGGGTCTCGGTTGGAATCCTAACAGCGATACTTTCCACTTTAAATGGCCGGTTGAAGACGTAAAACAACTAACAAAAAGAAACTTACTCTCAGCTATATCAAGATTTTACGATCCACTGGGATGGGTCTCCCCAGTGACGATCAAAGCTAAACTACTATTCCAGAAGCTCTGGATGAGCAAACTAAGCTGGGATGACAAGGTGCCTAGCAACATCGAGTCTGAGTGGCTGAATCTAAGAAAAGAGCTCCCGTACGTTAGCAAAATAACGGTAGACAGATGGATTGGCAATGCACAAGAAAACGTCGAATTATTAGGCTTCTGTGATGCAAGTGAAAAGGCATACGCTTGTGTTATATACAGCAAGGTGCTCAATGAACAGGGTCAGCCCATCATAACTCTACTAGCTGCTCGAACAAAAGTAGCTCCACTAGCACAGAAGACAACATTACCTCGGCTTGAACTGTGTGGCGCTCAACTACTGGCCGATTTAATGGAAAAAATCAAGCAAACGTTCCACGGAAACGTATCAATACGGGCCTGGACAGATTCTCAAGTTGTCCTGGCGTGGATTCAAGGAGAATCATCAAGATGGGAGAAATACGTAGCCAGCAGAGTTACAAAGATCAAAGGCGCCATTCCTGCAGGTCAATGGCGTTATATTAAATCAGAGCAGAATCCCGCAGACTGCGCATCAAGAGGTCTTTTGCCAAGCAAACTGATGAGTTTCAATCTATGGTGGCATGGTCCCGAATTTTTAACAAAACAAGATCTATTGGAAGATAAACCATGCGCTTTCCAAACCAATTTTGGTGGCATAAATCACATTCAAGTCACAAAACCTTTACAAGAAAATAATGAACGTACCATAATAACAAATTTATTGAACAAACACAGTTCATTGACACGAGTAATCCGGGTCATCGCATGGATTTCGCGCTTTATTACTAATTTGCGTAATAGAACAAAATCAGAAACTGCGTACCTAACGACAAATGAACTAAGCGCAGCACGTCAAAGTATCATAAGACACACGCAGCGCTTGGAGTTCAATTCCGAATACAAACAACTCGTGAATAACGAAATAGTATCAAAGAAAAGCGCAGTTTTCAAATTAAATCCTTATATAAACGAAGCTGGAATTATTTGTGTTGGAGGTCGCCTCAATCATTCAAGCTTACCCGGGGAGATGAAGAATCCAATCATCATACCCCACAGAGGACGACTTACCCAACTACTTATAGAAGAAGCTCATTCAACGACGTTACATGGAGGAGCTCGACTGACGTTGGCTTATTTAAGACAGCGCTACTGGATCATCGGCGGTAACCGGGCCGTTAAGAACCTACTTCTAAAATGTGTACGCTGTCACCGCTTCAACAAAACAGATGGCTACCAACTGATGGGAGACTTACCGCAGCAAAGGGTCACCCCTTGCCGACCCTTCACGCACACAGGAGTAGACTTTACCGGTCATGTTGATGTCAAACAAAATAGGGGCAGAAGCGTGAAAACTTCGAAGGGCTACATAGCCATATTTATATGTATGGTGACGAAAGCCGTTCATATAGAACTTGTGTCAGACCTCAGCACAGAAACGTTTATTGCAGCCTTCCAGAGACTGTGTGCGAGGCGAGGCACCCCTAAGCACATGTACTCTGACTGTGGTACAAACTTTATTGGCGCTGCGAAAGTACTTCGTCAAGAATTCGGAGAGTTTCGACGACTATTGAAACTGGATCTCTTTAACGAACTGGCCAAACTGGAGGTGGAGTGGCATTTCAACGCCCCCGCTTGGCCCACTGCTGGCGGTCTGTGGGAAGCGGCCGTCAAATCGATGAAGCACCATCTACGACGAGTACTCGGGGACCAAAAACTAACATACGAGGAGTTCATAACCTTGTTAGCAAAGATAGAAGCCTGTTTAAATTCGAGACCCCTGTGCCCGCTAACTGAAGATCCGGAAGAATTTTATAGCTGTCTCACTCCTGGACACTTCCTAACAGGAAGCCCAATATTATCAATGCCGCTGTCTGATTACAGCGACGTAACTAACATAGATCTACGTCGTAGGTGGCAGCTTACCGAGCATATGTTTCAACAATATTGGAAAACCTGGTCCAACGATTACCTGACTACTCTACAAACACGTAGTAAGTGGAACAAGCCTTCTAGAAACGTCAAAGAAGGCGAGGTAGTACTGGTGAAAGAAAACAATCTACCGCCGGGAAAGTGGGCTCTAGGTCGTATACTGGAGACTCATCCAGGATCTGACGGATATGTTCGAGTTGTCACCGTCAAAACTCAAGCAGGGATCATAAAGCGCCCAATAACAAAATTATCGCCATTACCACTGAACTCAGAAATTGAAGAGGTCAAGGAAAACGACGTGAAAATCAAGCCTCAGCAGGATTCTAAAAATAAACGACGGACTAGGTCAAGGAATAATATTTCAATGCTACTAACAGCAATGTTATCATTGTTTACAATTGTAACGGGATCCTTTAGCGCCACTGATGGCACGCGCGGAGCGCCGTCATCAAATACTCAAATTACAAGTTTGGAACGCGAGCGGCCGATATACTATGACACCGTCGGCAAAATGCAAGTAGTGCACGACGAATGGATTTTGATGATGTATTACAATCTGACTAATTACTGGGAAGGAACTCGTCGTACACAAACGTATTTCGACAACATCAAGAGTTTGTGTTATAAAACGAATTTACAACACTGTAAGTCAACCATGGAACAATTAAGTCATGAAATAGAACATCTAAATTATTACAATTCCATACTCATAAATCCTCATAAGCATCTAAGCAACAGGAAGAAACGGGGACTTATCGACGGCGTCGGTTACGTGGCCAACAGTCTTTTTGGAATATTGGACCAACGATTTGCGAAGAAATACCAAAACGACATTCAATCATTGCAAACTAACGAAAACTACCTACTCGAGTTAATCAAGAACCAAACAACCATTGTGGAGCTTGAAAACCAAATACTAAAACGAAGTGAAGAAAATATTCAACGCCAATTCAGCTTCATTGATACCTTTGTCAATCAGACCAACGCAAACATGGCATCCATCGAAACGGAAATGGAAATACTTTCAGCCACAACTTATATCAATTCTGCTTCGTTAACAACATACCTACTGATCAGCAGCTTAAGGACGTTCCAGGAGATGCTATTCAACACTCTAACAAACGTCTACCAAGGACATGTGGACGTTCATCTTATAACTCCGGTCCGTCTGATGCAAAAACTAACGGAAATATCCGGAAACCTTCCAAAAACTTTATCGCTACCAGTCGAAAACTACAAAGATAACATAAAGGACATGTACAAGCTAATAAATGTGAAAGCTCGAGTTACTGAGAATTATTTTCTGTTCGAAGCACATATCCCACTAGTAGCTAATGAAGATTTCAATTTATACAAAGCCATACCTTTACCTGTGAAGATTGCTAAAGAAACTACATATGTGCAATTATCGAACAAATACATTGCTGTCAACCTTAAGAAGAATGTTTACATGAGTATGTCTGAAGATGACTTGAAACACTGCACACAACAAAAATCGCAGAATTTATTATGCAAGAAAAACTTGCCATCATTTAATCTACACAGCAAAGACGCTCCATGTGAAGCAAAACTGCTTTCACATCGAAACAGCAGACCTTGTGACGTAGAACGCTCGTCATGTAAGGACAGTTGGATAGAACTGCAAACACAAAACAGCTGGCTGGCGATTTGCTGCGAAACATGTTCATTACGAATTATATGCAATAACGACGTGCAATCACAAACCATCTCATCATCGAGCATAGTCACATTATCTCAGGGATGCGTCTTGCAATCCACTGACTTGACCATCTATGCTCAGCGTCAATACAAAGACCACATGAAGATGGATTATGAGTTCACAGCTCCAACAGTTGATACATCCATTAACAAAATAGTGAACTTAACATATCACTATGCGCCAAACATTCTTCAATCAAAAGGCACCAATCAAGAAATTGAAGCAATTGAAGAGAAAATAGCAATTCAAAGGAAAGGGGAAGCTTCACCACCAACAATGACGAGTCATGACATCCATCAATATGCCGTCTGTTATTCATTGCTGACAGCCGCCATCATAGTAGCACTTGTTGTGGTTGGGAGGAATCGTTGCCCAAACATGTGCACGAAACACCCCAACAACAAAACGGCTAGTCAGCTATCTGAAGAAATTGAACTTCAAGTTATTAAGAAACCGGTGTGTCAGGAAGAAACAGGCGCAGCACAAGCTACGGAGAACTTGCGAGTGAAACCACGACCTGGGAGCAGGAACGTCGCCTTTCAATTTGATTGATTAGATTATTATTTGTATCTTTTACTCTACCTTTACCCTTCTTTTTACTTTGTAATGGCTTTTCCTTTCTCTTCTCGTCGGTTTCTCCTTTTGGGGTTGCCAAGATGTACAGTCCTAAAATGACTGACGTACATATTTTGTTTCTATAAATACCGATACAACATAATAAATGAGTGAGTGCAATTACTGCAACGCGGTAACCAACATTAGAGAAAGGAATCGTCAACAGTTTTATTGTGAACACAATTAAACGTTCTAAATATAACTAAGTGAATCTTTTCTCTTCGCGCTCCAACCTCAACAAACACGCTGCAAGTGTACGCACCGTACAATTGTTATTCAAAAATATTATGCAATATTAGACTTCTAATCAGTTTTACTTTTCCAATTCATAAATTAACCGTTTTGACATCCAAATATTTAATTAAAGATTTATTTAAAGTTTCCTAATTTATTATTTATGTTCTTTAAAATTGGCTAATTTTAATATCTAATGAGTTGCCTTCTAAAGCGAAATTAAATTAATGTAGTTTGTCAGTCATGCCATCATGAAATCAAAATAACTTTGTTGCGCATTCTACCCCAATAATAAATATTTTACTCCATAATAATCAAGGGTGCAATTCCCTTTTTGTTATCCAGTACGGTACCTACTTATACAAAATTATTTATTCCATAGATAAGCAAATACCGCCAATTTAGGTAAAAATCATTCAACCGATTAATGACTACTAGTCCTTTTTGGAAATAATTCTGTAAATTACTTGTTTCCGAAACCAATTTTGTGTAATAAACCATTATTCCGATGCTAAAGGTGATTAACTAATTTAAACTGAGCAATAAAATCAATATTTGAATACTGTATATTAATTAGTCTGTCATCGTAAATTGTCCAAATAATTAGATACCTTTCGCATCAAATCGTTTACCATGCCTTTTAAATCACATTAATTTTGACAGTTTAATTATTTCGTTGAACACTCTAGCATTTTTACAAATAAACGACTACCAAAGAAATTATGGACCATAAAAGTAATAGGGACTAACGGACTAGACGTTCTTCTGTATTATCATATTTTTTCCTCAAAGTTTCAAAACTTGAAGCCAGTGATCTCCTTTGGGTACTATTTACTAAAACGTCGGCTCTTTGTTATTTCTTTTTACTTGAGTTACTAACTTTGAGCCAGAGGGAATATATTTCTTCGAAGAAACAAATGTTCAGTAAGATCCACTATAAAGCTAGCGTTTGTAGAAACATGATTTTAATAAGATTAAAATAATTGTACGCGTCCTGTGAGATTGACTAGGCTCTAGTGATGGACAAAAAGTTGCCCACGTTTCTTATAAGATCCTTTTGATTCGGACGTGCGAGACATGGATTTGATAGCATACTTTTTTACTGATAGACAAATAAGTTTCAAGAAATGTTATTACGATTTTATCCCACGCAAATTATTTCTAAAAATAATTTTATTCGTGTAAAAAATTCTATATGATAATCCACATCTTTATTTATAATGACCCTGTAAATTATCATACCTTTATAAAAAAACTCGTGCAGTTAAGTTAAACTGCCATAAGACAGGATCAAAGATACACCATTAGGTGATTCCTAACTGCCAATGGCTACACTTAAGTTTACACTTAACGACCTCGGAACATCTATTGTATAATTAAAATTAGCTAAACGTTTGTAATTATGTAAATGTTTGTAAGCGAAATACGCATCGCAGATAACAGGGTCTGTCCGAGATTCAGCGTCATGCATAATGCAGCCTACTAATGCAGCCGTTAATTACACGCCCTTAGGGTCATTATTGATTGGCAATTTGCGTTTGGTGCCATTTCGTCTATATTGGATTGCTTAATCGTATTACCCGTAACTGTTCAACCTTAAGACTATTAAGTAATTTAATTAGGGGATTATGAAGGACTTATGGTTTTAAATAATTTGAACAGTGAATTAGCCGAGGTTCATTAAATAAACGATTAGTTCATGGAAGTAAAGTCTTTTTAATGGGAGCTAATTTAAAAATGTAGGTCAGTAGAACTCTAGTTAGAGAAAACATATATCATCTTATAGGAATTTTTGATACAAAGAAACAATTGTTATTTGTTACATGTTATTTAAAAATTGTTCATCATAAAAATATGGCAATGAGTGCACATAGATATTTATGAACCTCACTGCCAGTTAGTTACAAATATAAACGCTTCACAACAAACAAACGCGTCATACTTATTGTATTACCAATCCATTGTTCATAATGAACTCGCAAATAATAAACAAACAATAACAAAGTCCATAAATGTAAATAATTGTTTAGTAAGTAAAGAGAATAAAATAAGCGAGAGCGAGTCCGGACGATTTCCCGAGATACATTTTGTGTAAACGCCGGATAACATTTTTATTGTTAACAAGCAAAGCCGTGGCCACGACGAGCGACGATGATATCTACTCGTATGAATGATGACTTCGTGCTGAGCCTCTGGAAGCAGTCTCCACAGATAGACATGAAGGCAGCAGACTCGACACGAATATGGAGATTCGGCCGCACTTTGTACGCTCACTTTTCTAAAATGAATACCAAATGAGAATTGCAAAGCAATTCGCGAAATTGAATATTCAAAAATGTTTCTTTGCTATTTTAAAACATGATTTGATACTTTATGCTACTAACTTTGAAACAACTTAACATTTCTCGTCCATAAAACTTTATAGTAAAAACATATCTACAAGTATTATTGTGATGACATTTTTATGCCTCATTAAAATTCTTTACTTTAATTAAAAACATCAAAGATATGAAAATTGAAGTTTATGACTTTTGAAGTTTATGATTTTTGAAAAAAATATGATGAATGTCAATCACTATTTTGGAGCTGAGTTTTGGAATTTATTTAGGCTAGAAATTTAAAAGATTTATTGTCAATTAAAATTGTTGTTGATGGTCTCAAACTTTCGATGTCTGTGGTTGCGACCCATCCGTGGAAGATAAGGGGTCGACGTTTTTAGCACAAAGCGTTTTCTGTTTCGGACCCTTTACTGCAGGTTCTTTTACTTGGAACGTGCCTTAAAAGTACCTGTTTGCTGAGACCACCTTTATCGAGACGCGAGTAATATTTTGTCGAGATTATCAGTTAAAATGCCTTTATCGTTCTACGCTCACCTCTAACAGATGCAATGTCTCACTTAACAAATAACTATCACGCTTTCAAGTTGTCAGGTACAACATGACTCTTAAAGATAATAAAAGCATTAGACTGATACTGTAAAATACTAAGGTGGCATATTTATTTACCTTTTAATCGAACCTTTTACTAAACAAATAGGTAGTACATGTGACCGTAGCAGTAATAGTTTATTAAACAGACTGGTTATAATGTACAAATAAAAAAAATCTGTCATTACTCATTTCACCAAATTTTTAAACATATCCTTATACAATTTTACCGCAAGCAAACCAATGAACATACAAGTTATTCCAAACAGGACCAAACATGATTTTCCAAGATTTACAATCCATAACCGAATGTTTTATTTGTGGCGTTGACAGCCGTAAAGTAAGTATTGGTCTTCGTTCAAAACAATTGTTTTCACGAATTTTTAGAGGTAATAACATAATTGCGGTAGAATCCTTTTGTTTAACTGAAACGGACCCAGGCACTACTTTTATTGCAGGTCATAACTTTTAAAGGTTTTTTGCTTTGAATCCGAGGAACTAGCCATATTGTTAATTTCTCCCGACGGAGCTCTTTTGTTTTCGACCAGTCCTTGCTCAATGCAAAGCGAAGACGAATGCTGGGATGAATAGATTGTAAAATGTTCTGGTCACGGCTAATGTGATTGTTCTCAATAGTTGCAGAAGTCACTTTTGGCCCCAATTTGGGCTGCCGATTCTTCATTGTTATTTGCCTCAGTTTCACGCAGTGCTGTCTCAATTATGTTGTCCAGGCTTCCGTTAAACAGTTTGTTTGCCTTCATGTTTTGTTAAAATCCTCAGTCCACTGCATCTATTCAGTTTTACAAAACAAATTCTAATTCAGTTATCAATAGCTTTAATCGTAATTGACTCATTTCCGTTGTCCATTATACTATCTTTGTTATTACAGTCTAGTTCTATAATCAACTGACTGATCGTCAATGGACTGATAAATTATAACAGAACTATTAGCAAGGGCGTTGTCTCTGCAATATCGATTTGTCGCATAATGCTCACATGCTTTTTATAGGACGGATATATCGAATAGATGGTATCTATTCGTACGACAATTTATTATGGGACCTACACATGGCCTATAGTTTGAAGCACCCATTTAAAGGCAATCTGTAATGGATTGAAAAACTCATAAATATTAGTAGATAAACGAAGCCATTCTTTCACATAAAAGTCGTGTTGAACTTCTACCGATATCGGGCAATGTCAACACACTCGTTGTGTTATATAACGTTCCTTTGGGAAGATCGCTATGTAAGATGTTTTCGGAGTCAGTTGTTACGAGATAAGTGGTAATATTGTGTTTGATGTCCTCTTGTAAATATTGAGCCATCACATAGGCACGTGAGATATTTACTCCTAATATTGACAGAGAATATCGATAGACGTGCCCTGATATGACCTTGCTCCGACGGACTTCTTTCTCGGAAAGTTTTACCAAACACACTGTTCTCTATTTTGTATTAGTCAATCTCATGAGATCTCAAATATTTTAGGGTCCTTGTGCCTTTTGTAAATAGATTGCATAACTAGATAAGTTACCTACTCTATAAACGCCTTATCAGTTTTAGTAAGTTGGCCCTGACGTCCGGAAAGGATAATAAATATTACAATCGCCATGAGTCATAAAAATGCTTCAAACAAACCATTAAACTTGCATTAGGTACATCGCTACGCTACCACATCCTAATGTTTAAAGTAATTTATTTATTTCTCTTTGAGCAGTATGTCAAAGGGTTTTAGGATTTTGATTTTACTCTGTGCTCTAAGGAGATACGTGATTTATAGTGGCATTGAAGACATTCAAAGGTCTCAGACCGTCTCCCACGGTAGACGCAATCCGACACGCACGTGTTATGGCATTCGATGGACCACGATTAGACTTTGCGGTGACGCACGATGCCCTCTTGAATGGACGTGTTTTTGTGCCTAACTAGCACAAACATTCCCGACGTTTTTCTACTTTGAGATTTTTACCCAACACAGGTTATTTTCTCTCCAAGTCTATCTTATTTATTTGTAAGATATATCAACCTTTTAACCTATAGAAAACGTTCTCCAAATTGCTCCAAAACGACTTTATATATAAAAATAAGATATTAAAAATTTTACCGAATTAATTATAAACCTTATCAATAAAGTACAATAATATTGCATTACACGTATAATATAATTTTCCAGTCATCTTTCCATTGTAGCAATATTAGTATAGTCTTGTTGAACAGCTGTACTTAAATCACTTAAATAAATATGTAAAGGAAATTGAAACACCACAATAATGTCTTTTGTGTGCATTCTCTTCCGATTTTAAACTGTCAATCATATATTTTGTATTGAATTAAAATGTCCGCCCATCTCGTCAAAATTGCATAGGTTTTAAAATGTCGTTCAAGTAAAATAAATAATCTTATCCTTATAATAATAAAATTATAATAATAATGTAGTCTCACAAGTTATAGGAATATATTAAGGAAACTCGCACTTCAAAACAGAGTTCAAGAGCACCAAACAAAGTTTTTCAAGTCACGTAACTGCTACTGTTTCAAATGTCACCGCGACCTCCTTTGAGATGAAACTTAAGGAGGTGCATTCAATGAATCACGCAGGCCTAAGTCTTCGGCTGCATAACCAATATTTCGAGTACTTAAAAAACACGCGTGCCATCTGTTGTAAGCCGATGCAGTGCCGGGTCCCACCCGTCGTCATTGTTGCCTTCCACGTCCCGCGCGTTACCCCTCCCCCTATACCCATGCGGCTTTCGTTCGTTCAAACTTCGTAGGTCAGTTACCGCCCGACCGCAGGGGAGCATGGCTGCGTCAAAAGTTTTACCGCGATCTCGCACTCACTGTTTACATGCGCTATAAAACGAAGTGTACACAACAACACGGACTTAATAATATTGACTGTTTGGTGACATAAAGTTTTAACAAGTACTTTAGTGATATATTTGTGACAAATGAACTATTTTAAAGTGGCAAAATGACCAGAAACTTTAACGGAATGGTTTCGTTAAAAGTTTGGATGTGTTTGGTTATCGTGGCCGGTGCGCGCGCACGTTCCGCGCCGCCCGCCCCCACCGGCTGTCATTGGGACTATTCGGACACAAAGTTGAGTGAATCAAACTTTCTCACGTGTAACATTAAAACCATCGGCTCGGTTGACTTCTTGTTTAAAAACATCACTACGGCGCAGGCGTACAACATCAACAAGTTGAAACTGACTTGCACGGATTTGTTGTTCTTTGAAAGTTCTTTACACATGAATACCGGCAGTTTTTTGGGCCAGCTGCGAAAACTTGAAGACCTGCGCATTGAGTACTGTAAGATACGGTACGTGCCCGCTACTGTCCTGTCTCCGCTACGTGATTTAACAAGTTTAACTCTGCGTTCCTACAATACGGATTGGCCTGCAATGACTATGGAGTTTCACGCTGAAAGTTTTCGTGGACTAATGGAACTTCGGACGTTGGACCTAGGTGACAACAATATTTACATGTTACCGTCTGAGGTATTCTGTCCGCTTTTTAGTTTGGAATCTTTAAATCTTACCAACAACAGAATTCAAGATATATCTGAAATTGGCTTCTCGGATTGGGGTAAAGGACCTATCGCGCCTGGTAAATCTTGCAATACCGGGCTGAAGATGCTTGATTTATCTCACAACAACATTCTACGACTTCCGGACAACGGTCTTTCTAGTTTAAGATCTTTAGAAGTGTTGAATATTCAGAACAACTTAATTAATGAAATAGGCGACAGAGCCTTTGTTGGACTGAATTCATTAAAAATTCTGAACTTGTCGGGAAATAAGTTAGTCGCTGTCCCTCCCGAACTATTTCAATCATCACGAGTTATCAAAGAAATCTCATTAGCGAATAATTCGCTTTCTGTGTTGGCTCCGGGATTACTTGAAGGACTTGATCAGCTTGAGAAATTGGATTTATCCAGAAACCGTCTTACAAACGATTGGGTTAACAGAGATACTTTTGCTGGACTTATCCGTCTAGTTATATTGAACTTATCTTATAACTCGCTTGCACGTTTGGATCCCAAGTCTTTCCATGACTTGAATACTTTACAAGTTTTGAACCTGGACAATAATGCTATTGAGGTTATCAGCAATGGAGCATTTGCTGAGCTTAAGAATTTGCATCAGCTGTCGATATCAGACAACAAAATAAAAACATTAAATGAACACATATTTTCCAACTTGTTTGTTCTTAGTCAGCTGTATTTGGATAACAATATGATATCAACAATCCACGAAAGCTGTTTTGAAAACATTACATATTTACAAGACTTAGGCCTAAATGGAAATAGTTTGAACACAATTCCTGACGGAATCAAAAAGTTAAGATTTTTGAAATCATTAGATATCGGAAAGAATAACATATCTAAAGTAGCAAACACGTCTTTTGAAGGATTAGAAGAGCTTTATGGACTACGCCTCGTTGACAATCAGATCACAAGCGTGCTGAAAGATACATTTAGTACTCTGCCGTCCTTGCAAGTGCTAAATTTGGCATCTAACAACATAGACACAATTGAACAAGACGCGTTTTTATCTAATCCGACTTTAAAAGCAATCCGCTTAGACGGGAACAAACTGACCGACATCCGAGGTGTCTTCAACAAACTAAATACCCTCGGTTGGCTTAACATATCTGACAATAAACTTATTTACTTTGACTATAGCTACATGCCAGCGAGCCTTGAATGGTTAGACATACACAGCAACAATATTGCAAAACTAGAAAACGAAAAGAATGCTCAACAAAACATCCGAATGCTTGATGTAAGTTACAATGCATTAGAAGACGTCGATGAAAGGTCGATACCTGATTCTATTGAAGTCCTTTTCTTAAATAACAACAAAATTCACACGATTCACCCAGGTACGTTTTTACAAAAACGAAACTTAGAAAAGGTTGTCGTGACTGACAATAAATTGAGAACCGTTGAACTATCGGCGTTTACGTTGCCCCATATACCGAAGCATAGAATGCTGCCAAAATTCTTTATTGGAAATAATCCATTTGTATGCAATTGTCACATGATTTGGCTGCAAAAGATAAATCTTTGGAATCATATGAGGCAATATCCGAGATTCATGGATTTGGATACAGTAACATGTGAAGTTGTGAATAACAAGTATGGCGGAAAAGCTAACCTTATGGATGTTCCTGAAACTCAGTTCCTTTGTTCTTATGAAACTCATTGCTCATCTAGTTGTTTCTGCTGTGATTTTGAAGCCTGTGACTGCAAAATGACTTGTCCTGACGGCTGTTCCTGTTTCCATGACAGCAACTGGAACTCAAATGTCATTGATTGTTCAAACGTGGGCTACACAGAAATACCTGAGAAAATACCAATGGATGCGACGGAGCTGTATTTGGACGGCAATGATTTCCGTGCCTTAAATAGTCACCTTTTTATTGGCAAGAAGAAGTTACACAAGCTTTACCTTAACAATAGTAACATTGCCAATATTGACAATGACACCTTAAATGGTTTACACTCATTAAACGTCCTTCACCTTGAAAATAACCATCTGACTGAGCTATCTGCTGGAGTGTTTTCTCAAACAAAACACTTGAGGGAGTTATACTTGAATGATAACCTCTTGACAAATGTCGCAAACAAGACTTTTGAGAACCTGTCATCTTTAAGAGTTGCGCACTTCCAAGGAAACAAGATTCTCGACCTTGATAAAAAATTGGCGCACGTATCCCATTTGGAAAGCGTCAACCTTCAAGGAAACTTGTTCACATGTGCATGTGAAAATATCATGGCTCTTCAAAACTGGTTCAAAAAGTACTATGAAGATCCCGCCGAAGTGTTGTGTGTTAGTGAAAATGGACTCATGTCGAACTATACTGTGTTTGATGCAATTGATAAGTGTCGTGATTCTAGTGATATGGACAATACTATTCCTACTGAAAATCAACCGTATCAATATGATGAAGTGAGCCCCATTAAACTGAACTTTGTGCCACTTTTAGCTGTAGTTTTGATAAGTGTTATTCTTATTCTATTATTCGGTGCCTTAGCGTTTTCGTTCAGACAAAATGTTCGCTTATGGGCACATTCCAAATATGGAGTTAGATTGTTCAAAAGTGCTTCAATCCAAGAGAGTGAACTCGATAGAGATAGATTGTACGATGGATACGCTGTGTACAGTTTATTGGACGATGATTTTGTATCTAAAGTTGTTGCTCCAGAAATGGAACATTCCGGTTACACGATGTGCTTTCATTATAGAGACTTACAACATACTCCTGATAATTATTTGTCTGAGCAAATAACAAATGCTGCAGAATCATCGAAGAGAATTTTAGTATTTGTGTCATTTAATTTTCTGCAAAATGAATGGTCTAAAGCTACTTTCAAAGCAGCTATGAAACATGTAATAACTTCTATTCATCCTTCAATAAGGCGACATAGAGTAGTCTTCATTTTAACAACTGATGTTAGTGCTCTTAACTTAGATCTAGATTTCCAAAATTATTTGAAAACTTGCAACGTTTTATTGTGGGGTGAAAAGAAGTTCTGGGAGAAAATTAGGTTTGTAATGCCAGACATTTCTAATTTACATTGGAACAAAGATACAATGAATTACAATCATGGCGTGTGTCCAAATGGTAGACGGCATCCTTCCAGATACACGGCTTCGCCTACTGCGCCGGAACATTGGTACAAGTACGACGCAATACCGCCTCAAACGCCTACTGCTGCTAATGTAGGCATAACTATTGAGGACGACACGTCGATGTTAACTAACACTACGTTGACGAGTCAGATTCAAGATGGGGAGAATTTACATCATAGTTACATTTCTATTGATACACAAAATTATGAGCAACCCTACGGCGGCCGGCCTAGGCCTCCTAATACATTGCGTAAACATCCTGGCCACCACTCCCCATCTATGCTCGATGAGCAGGGTTACTTACAACCTCGCTCATCTGTGCACGACTGCTTGCCACAAACTCATTCAGCCGTGCACAGATGATAAGATTGTTAAACTTTTCTTATCGGCAAGACACTTCGTAATGGAAGTTGACATTCCAAGCGCATGTGTAGACTAGACCGCTTTTTAAGTTGGCCATGCCTTACTGAAACATGATACTTTAAAATATGTTGGTTTAGATAATTTGGCCAAATTGACTTCGTTCCTCAATACTTCGGACATTGTCATGTTAAAAGACTGTATTGTTAAATGTATTCTAAACGTATCTATGTAGAGTGAAGCCTTATTGTATTTCATTGTATAAAGCTATATGAATTGTTATTCATTAAGACTGATACATAATATTGTGTAAACAAAATGCCAGTATCAGGAGTGCAGACTAGCATGAGTATTTTGATATAGTATATCTCATTGTTACCAAATATTTTGTAGATAGACATTACTAATCCTTGTATAAAATTATTATTGTATAGTATTACTAGTCATTAGGTAAAATTATTGCATAGTGTTGAAAATTTGTAGATACTTAGTTACATAATTAGTGGTATCCATGAATGTATTAATAATGTTATTGTTGGAAAGAATTTGTATCAATTTACGTATGTGAATCTTGGTATCGCTAAGTATGTAACTGAATGTTTGTATATTGTATTGTATAATATTCTTGACTGTTACATTATAATAATTTAAAAATAAACCAATATCATCAAATATAATATAGTGGTTTCTTTTCCCTTGAGCCTAATAGAGTTTTAATAACAGGACTTATTATACATATTTTCCAAAGTTTGTTCAAGAAACAGTCCTTAGTAATTTGCAGTCATTAAATCATTAATTTTAACCATTGCCCGTTTATTAAAAACTTGTGGTTTGTTTAAAGAACTAGACAAACTTTTTTTGTTACCGCAACAAAAACTAAGAATCTTTTGAAATCCAAATGGCGGCGTAACTGTTAACTTTGTTGTTTTCAAATCGAAAATATTACGTAAAAAAAAGATGAGAAATAATTTCGGCTTGCCGACAATCATCTTGGGTCATAATGATGGTCCCTTTTCAGGTAGATACACCCAAGTCATATTTCAACCGTCACGGATAGCATGGTAGCTATAAAAGAGATTTACAATACGTTTAGTATTCGTCGCTAGTTATGGGATCGTCAGTTGGAGCTCGGACACGGTCCGAGAAGCCGATTGATTTTTTTTAATAGTTTTTCCAAGTTTGAATTTCGATCCCAACATATGGTGTGACATACTTTCAATGACCGTTGCCCGGCTGTTTAATTTTTTCTTAATGAGGTTCTGTGGTCGCATTGTTGCAACTGGCTTTGTTTGTTCACCAGATTGAAGGGGTAGCGGTCCTTGAATAGATACTTCAAAGGTAATTAATAGAGCGTATAGCTGTAGGGGTATACAATAAATGGTTGTAATTTTTGTTCAGCACAGTCAATAAAACATCATTAATTTCTATAAAAGTTTCTTTACGTCACCTTGATACAAGTTAAATATTTATTTGTTAACTACATATATTTTGTATAATGTGTTTTTGACACACTGAACAAAAAGACACGTATACATATCTGGCTTTTCTAAGATTCTAGTACCGAGTTCTTAATCAAAACACTCAAAATCTGCCTTAAATCTGTCCTTACATTCTATGATAACACTTTGACACAGACTACACAGATATAACCTAACAAACAGACAAATATTTGGTTCATACGGAAATTCATGACTCATAGAACGGTAGGGAATTCACAATCTACTTAGGCCGTGCCTATCAAAATCAGCCGCTGCATTAAACCACACAATTGTATGCAAAGTGCAACAAAGCATTTAGTAGTGAGTACACAGCAACCGTTGTTTACATAATAAAATAGAGACGATAACATTGATAACAGTTGTACTGTGGTTGGTCTTAAACAAATATTATAAATTGCATAACAATGACAGTATTTGGTTTATCTTAAGGTTTGAGTCAGGGGGTTTTAAATTTTGTTAATGTTATTAAGAAGATTGTCGCTTAAGCAATTTTTTTTTGTATTGTGCTGAATGTCTGTTGACTATTATTATACAGGGTGTAAACGGAACACTCTCGAAAAACATTGACAAAAAAATTATTAAATTTTTTTATCGTTTTTGTTTACATGACATTAATACAACATCAACATTGATTACAACTATTGCTATTACATAAAAGAAACATTTTAATTCCTTACTTTATGAAAATTCAAATTGTTTCTGACTATCACCTGTAGGCGTTGTTCGTGAGCGTCGGGAGTTGCAATCACTCATAATACTAAAAAATTAAACACCTAGAAAACTTCAAAATCACCTATATTATTATTATTAACAATTAAAAAAACTATTTCTTCCTTCCTTCCTTGTATATATTTCCTTGTAGACTACAAGGAACAAGGAAATAAATACAAAAATAACAAAATTTAAGCTTATTATAAACCTATAATTACATTAGAAATTCATCGACCAATAAACAATAAAGAAAACATCTATAACACTTGCAGTAATTGTGTACTAATATATAAATTACAATCTTTGTGTACTTACATCGGTCTGCAACTGTGAGATAAATGGAGAGAAAGTGTTCATACTGTGAATATCCACATCATTGGATCAGGTAATTGATTTTTATATGTAAGTATTATATTTCATTAATACAACAACATCATATAATGAAATGTTATATTCTACGTGATCAGAATTAAAATGTAAGAAGAAATTCTTGTGATAATTAACACTACTCAGGTTGCGACAGAACAAGACTTTGTTAGAAGATATTTTCAATTAGATAATTTTAATTTTGTGGCTAAGCAGCTGTACCCGCAACTTCGTATGCGTTTTTCTAAAATAAACGTGGCCTATGATACTCCTTAGTATATTATCTAATGGGCAATAAAAGTCTCGTTAATATCGGTCCAGCAATTTCAGAGATTAGCCAGTGCAAAAAATAGCATAGACAGACAGACAAAAATTGTAAAAAGAGTTATTTTGGTATATGTAAGGATGTAGTAAAAATGTTTATTTCAATATTATAAACAGACACACTAAATTTCATTTATCTGTACAGATAATAGGATCTAATGTTGATTTTTTATAGTTTTAACTAAATTAGTAATCGATAATTACCATCGTCATTACCTAATGACCGTTTTCTCCTCTGCTAGAGTATATTAAGTAATTGAGACTAATAAATAATTCCTCCTCATTTACTAATTTATCTCAATAAGCAATAAATATCCTAAGTTATTATTCATTTAGAAGTTCTTTACCTTCATTGAATACGTCATTACCTTTCACTAAAACGATATTACTATTCTATTATTTATTTTAAATTAAAAATATTATCTCTTATTGTTCTATCTCACAACGGAATGTTTGCTCTTCCGTGTCCGATAAATAGAAAACGTCAGTAGCAGAATCATATTCGATTATTGTCCTCAATAAGTTACCAAAACTATTTCTGTTCCAAGATACCTACCTGCTATCAATATCCGGGGATATCGGTCCTATCTCTGGATTTCACGGTTAAACGCACCATTGATTCTCCCTATCATATCCAATGCGTCCCCAAGAATAGATAAGAAATTGACCAGATACCAAACCAAACTCCTTTAATACTCCCATCAAGTTTACTGGCTTATTGTTTTATTCAAACCAATTTTGATTTCTATAAAATTAAATGTTATTTCTAATTGTTATTCTATGGTTGTAAATCTTGCAGATTTTGTGATATTGCAGTGGGAGTAAATGACTTAGAATGGATTATGTTACATATTGTAAATTGTGCAGTTAACCTTTCAAGGAATTTCGAGGTAATGAATACTGCTAGGACACAGTTGTTCTATATTTAGAACATAATTATTCATTGTCTTCATCAATCAATTAAAACAATCGTTTCTACCAACTTGAACATGTTATGCATGAACATCCTTTCAATGTCAAATCCTTTGATAATATTTTTCTCCGACCACTCAAAATTCCTTCACAATAAGCAATGACTAATCCCAGTTCTCAGGGTCACATCAAATCTGATAGATTCGTATTTTAGTGTGACATTGATCGACGTCTGATATCCGAACACAGGTTGTAAAGATTTTTCTGTTTTGTATTTAACATTAACGAAATTTGTTGTTCAGCTGGTCAACTCACGCCACCCGCTGCTTAGACATGACGTTTCACACTTGAAGTTGCTTCGACTCGGTACAAAGGTCACGTCTTCTCACTCAAATCTCGACCGGGAGCGTTTCGGTCGGAATTGGATCGTGACAACCAAGAGATACTTATCGTGATTTTCTGGCCAATTCCGATGCATCGCTCCGTTGTTAGGATGGGTAATGGGAGCATGGGAACACGGATAGAGTTGGTACTAACTAAATTATTGTAAGTCAAATAAGGCGATGTGTTTGTAGAGCGATGATTGGGGTGCGCCGGGTAGCTTTGTTTGTCTATTAAATTTTGTCACATGATTGACGTTCAACCCGACTAACATCTTATGTAAATAAGGATTTGCCGTCTAAATCCAGCGCTTTAGTTTCTAGTTAATCCATAAAGTCTCATAAACTGTTCAATAATGATAGATTTTAATCTGTGTAACCGCTGGATATTTTAATCATGTTTCCTATAGATGAGTTTTCGGGGAACCACGTTGATAATAAGGAAGTAAAAGTCATTAAACTCAAGTAAGTATACGTCAACGTTTACATTAAGTATACTTACAAGATAACATTTACAATAAACTTCTGTATTACTAACATAAAATATACATTGTGATAAGGATGAGTCAAACATTTTATAACGCTGAATTATTTTTTTCTTAATTATGTATGAGCAATATTTTAATACAAAGATGTATCTGTACATGATAACAGAGGGAAAACAGTGTTTCCTTTGATTTCTGTTAAATATTTTTCGTCATAATTCATGACGTAACTGCAATTTAGCAACGCTTATCATTGTGAACATTCATAATTCTACTTAAGTACAAACTATTTCAGCTCGTAATAAATTATGATAAACTATTTACATTTAACAGTATGTCATAGAGTTAGTAAATAAGTATTATGCATGTGCATAATATAGAAGAAGCAAAATAATAAAATGCGTGGTAAATAAATGTCGTTTAGATGTTTAAATATTAAAATATGTCATAACAAAGGTGCAACAGACTACAGCTCAGCGTACAATTACAACTACGTGAGATCACACGAGAGAAAGTTCCAAACATTACATCAAAGGCTTAAAAAAGTCCACTGATACCTTAACGCCAATAGAAGAAAAATAAAATCCGGTTATGGGAATCTAAGCTCGGATAAATCACATCGAAAATACTGTCACGACAGGAGAAAAAAATCTTGGCATTGGAAAACTATTGAACGATTTCATTATCCCAATGTCCCGGCTAGTGAGCATGACTGACTATTCCGTGAAAGAGAGTAACAAATCTTTAAAAAAAAGTTGGTTCCGTTCCGTTTTTGTACAAATTCTTTCCGATCAAAGTTAATTCTGGCTATCAATTGTCTTCCTACGATGTGTCGCACTGATAGATAAGGACTTAAGTAAGGTTGGGAAGAAAGATTTCAATGCATGCAAACATGGTTTGTGAACAAAGTTCGTGCAATCAATTTTTTGTGTAAATAAATTTTAATGTAAACAGACCGTTCGAACATTATGAAAGTGGAATGTATGTAGC